TAAATCCCACCATCTCCTCTTCTAAAAGTCTGGCCTTGGCGAGATGCTCACACTCTGAGGGCCTCGGTGTCCTCATCTGTAAATTGGGCATGATCATAGTTCACATTGCACTTGGCAGCATCGGAGTGAACCAAGGTGAGCTGGTGAGGGGCCGGCTCCTGGGAGGTATATGGTGGCCATGATCAGGACGATGCCTGCACTGGGACCCTGGGATCCCCTTGGCTGGCCCCCAGCCCATCTGTCACAGTCAAGACATCACAGCAATTCCAATTTGGCAACAGAGTTTATTGAGGTGATCCCATGGGCCTGGTCCTGCCCCTCATTCCTCTTTCTCATCTCCGTGGGTGATGATGTAGCACAGGGACTTATAGTCGATGTTCCCTTCCAGGTCCATGGGCGTCAGGGCAAACATCTGCTCCACCTGGGGGAGGCGCTGGTGAGAGGCCTCCCTCTGGCTCCTGGCCCAGCCCAGCAGAGACCTGCCCTGAGTCTTGTGGCCCTTCTGCCTGCCCTCTGCACCTGTGCTTTCTGCTTTAGCTTTTCAACCCCAGACTCCAGACTCTGGGTTACTGCTTCTCTGTTGGCTGACTCTGGGCAGAGTGAGGAGTCAGTGCAAACTGGGGCCAAGGGACAAACAGCGTCCCTCCAGCCACAGGCACAGGCCCACCCCAAGTGTGTGAAACCTCTCCTAATGTGCTTCCCAACCCCACTCCCGGGGCTGTGCACAGTCTCCCTGTCTGCAGGGAGAGCAGCACACCCTGCTCTCTTTTCTGACTCCACATCTTTACCTTCTAGGTCTCAACAGAGATGGCACCTCCTCCAGAAAGGCCCCCCAGGTCACCCTTTCAGCAACTGCCTTACTGGTACTGGTCATGGGTGAGGGCCCAGAGAAGGTGCTGGGGATGGGTATTGAAGGCACTGGGCAGCCTCACCTCAGCCGGAGAGAACTTGTCTGCCTGGGTCAGGAGAAGCTGCTTGAACCTGGGGGGAGTGAGGAGGGTCTGAGGAGGAGACTGCAGGGGAGTGACTGCACAGGGAAGGTGGGTACGGAGGCTCCCATGGTGCAGGGAAGGGCTGGCTGCGCCCCAAAGAGCAGTGAAGGCCCCGAAGTACTGGCAGCCCACCTCACAAGGGGCCTCATTCCCCTCTTTGCTTCCACCACTGTGCTCTCATCGTGCTGGGCCCACACTTACTCATCCTTGTTCACTACCCCTTTGCCGCTGGGGTCGAACATGCGGAAGGCACTCAGGATGGCTTCCTCGGGGTCTGTCCCTGGGAGGCCGAGGCAGGAAGGTGAGCATCCATGTCTCCTCCATCCCAGGTCCCACCCAGCAGGAACCGGGCTGTACAAGGAGCCACCCCCCCAGCCCCGCATCCCAGGAGGGGTAGGTCCATTCCCTAATATAAATTGTTTCTCGGGGATCCGTGGGGCTGGGAATAGTCATTCTCCCAAGGTGGGCAGCCTGGCTGGGAGATTGGAATTTGGGAGTGGAGGCTGAAGGCACATTTCCTGGCCCCAAGTCAGCACTGGGGTGACCAGTGCACATGGGATTCTGGGGCAGAGGATGGGCAGGGGCGGGGCCCACATGCTTTGAATGGGCCATGGCCAGGAAGCGTCCAGGTGGGTCCAGTGGGGTTCAGTTAGGGTTCAGATGGGGTTCAGGCAGGGTGCAGGCTTGCTGCATGGCCAAGGGTGCCCAGCTCTGTCCCAGGCTCACCATTGAGCTTCTCCCCAAAAAGCGTGAGGAAGACAGTGAAGTTGATGGGCCCCTTGCCCTCCTGCAGCATGGCATCCAGCTCCTCCTCTGGGACACTCACTTTCCCTGGTGGGGGTGGGGAATGAGGTGCACACAGGGACCCTGGGTGTTCCCCAGAAGGGCCCAGGCTGCCCTCCCTCCATCCTGGCCATAGGGGCTGGGGAGATGAAATTGAAGGAAGGTGTGACAAGAGGGGAAGGGCAGTGTGAGGAGAGGGGGAGGAGGAGAAGCAGAGGACCAGGGTGCTGTCCCCCCAGCCACTCCCACCCACCCTGCAGCTCCAAGCAGGGACCCCGGTGTGCAGGGTGGGGCTGGGTAGGAGGTGGGTGCACGCACCTAACTGGGAGTAGGTCTCCCTTAGGTCTGCCTTGCAGATGATGCCATCACGATTCTGGTCGATGCAGCTGAAAGCCTATGGATGGGGGCCTTCAGGAGGGAGCAGCCCCCAGCTGTAGGGAAGGTGGGAGGCGGGGAAGAGGCCTGGGCGATGTGAGGGGCAAGGTCAGGGTAGAAGTGGGGTGTGTATGTGGGGTGTGTATGTGGGGTGTGTATGTGGGGTGGGGTCGGGGGTCCGGGACAGGGAATGAGGCTGCTGGGAGTGGGCACTCACCTCCTTGAACTCCTGGATCTGGGCTTGTTCAAACATGGAAAAGACGTTGGAAGAACCACGTTGGGCCTGCTTGGTGGCTGCCACCTTGCCCCGGGTCCCCGCCTTCCTGCTGGCCTGCAACACCGTGCTTGGGGAGGGGTCCTCTCCCCAACTCCTCAAAGTCTCCCCACCCTACCCATCATGCGCAATCCCAGAGCATTCCCAGAAGAGTCAGTGTCAGGATCCTTTTCCTCTCCCTGGGGACCACCCTGAACCCAATGCAAGCACAGAAAACTCTGCTACCCCAGCCCAAATTCCAGCACTTGGGAGACCACCAGCCTTTCTTCCCCGGCAGGCACTCACCATTCTCTCTGCAGAGGTGTGGCTGCTGTCGTGGGGGCAGGGCCCAGCCTCCTTTATGTCTCGGCCTTATCACCTGAAGTTCCAAATAAGGAGAGGAACAGAGGACAGGCCCAAACTTGGCAGCCCCTGCGTGGGCTGGGGGTGGACGAAGGCCCTAATAGATTCCAGCCACATTCCTGATGACCTTCATGTCCTCAGTGTGTAACATCCTGGTGTCTATCCATCCTGGCAGGGCTAAGTACAATGTCTGCCCAGAGCAGAGCAGAAGAGGCTCGAAGCTCTCACCACTCTAGGTGCTGATGAAAGGATCCAGTTGCCCCCATATCTGACCACCCTTCCTTGCTGGTCCAGTCAGAACACTAGCCAGTGCAAGAGGACAGCTGGGGAGGGCCAGTCCAGGGTGCCCGCCAGGCTTGGGAGGGCAGTGGGTAGTCCTGAAGATGGTCTGTGGCCTGAGACCCCCCAAGGATTTCCCAGAGGTTTTGGTGACCCTAAGCTCTGTCCTTTTCCCCTCTGACCAAGGGACAGAAGGCATCCCTGAGCTAGCTGTGACCCCAGGCAGAACACTGCTTGGCTTTGGGGCAGTTCTGTAGGGTGAAGGAGCTCCATCAGCTGCCTTCCCATGCAGTCTGCCCTGCCCCGAGTCTGTTCTGCTGTTTGGAGCCTTGCCTTCCTCAAGCCCCAACTCAACCATACTCCTTCAAAAAGCTCTTCCTAACATCCTCAGTGGGGAGCTTCTGGGGCATGTTTCCCATTTGCCTGGTGGCTGCTGTGTTCGTCATTTCTGGCTTCTGTGCTCCTCCTGAGCATCCAGCCAGGTTGTCAGCTGCATCCCCAGAAGGCCTGGTGCACAGCGGGCTGATAGGCAGGCCTGCATGGTGCTGTTCCAAGAAGCAGCCTCACCAGCTTCTGGGGTTAAGGGCACAACAGAAGGGCTGGGGAAACGGGGGACATCCTGGAGGCAGCAGGAGCGGGCCACCCCTGCCTGGGCTGACTGGCCACTCCCGCTCCCCTAGGCCAGACCCATGTCTGTCAGTAGCTGGCTGGCAAAGGGCCAGAGCTCTCATCTGTCAGACCCAATGCCCTTTTTATATAACAAGGGTTTTCTTTTAAATTTCTTAAATTCCTTTTTTTTTTTTTTTTTTTTTTTTGAGACAGAGTCTCACTGTTGCACAGGCTGGAGTGCACTGGCACGACCTTGGCTCACTACAACCTCCACCTCCCAGGTTCAAGTGATTCTCATTTCTCAGCCTTCCAAGCAGCTAGGATTACAGGCAACTGGCACCACATGCAGCTAATTTCTGTATTTTTTTTTGTAGGTTTTGTCATGTTGGCTAAGCTGGTCTCAAACTCCTGACCTCAGGTTATCTGCCTGCCTCAGCCTCACAAAGTGTTGGGATTACCAGTGTGAGCCACTGATCTCTGTCACCCAGGCTGGAGTGCAGTGGCATGAGTGGAGCTCACTGCAGATGATCTCCTGGGCTCGAGCGCTCCTTCCTGCCTCAGCCTCTGGAGTAGTTGGGACTACAGGTACATACCACCTTGCCCAGTGTTTTTCCTCTTTCTTTTGAAACTTAATTAATTAATTTTTTAGACAGAGTCTTGCTGCTCTGTTGCCCAGGCTGGAGTGCATTGGTACAATCTCTGCTCACTGCAACCTCCACCTCCCAGGCTCCAAGTGATTCTCCTGCTTCAGCCTCCTGAGTAGCTGAGATTACAGGCACCCGCCAACACACCCAGCTAAGTTTTGTATTTTTAGGAGAGACGGGGTTTCACCATGTTGGCCAGGCTGGTCTCAAGCTCCTGACCTCATGATCTGCACTTGAGCCTGGCGACAGAGCGAGACTCCATCGCAAAAAAAAAAAAAAAAAAAAAAAAAAACAGCATATATCTGGGCCCCCATTCACTGTCAAACCTAAGTGGCTCTGACTGGACAGGACAGTGCTGAGACTGACCTGCAGCAGGACCAGCCTCACCCCCTAGTTTCCCAGAGCAGCACCTGGCCTGGCACTCCCTTGGCACACATTCCATGGGCAGGCAAACAGGAACCTGGGCCAGGCAGCGTACTGTCCACTGCTCTGCCACCCCCCAGGGCACCCCATTCCTGTTCCTACAGCCTGGTCTGTCACTCCTCACACTACCCTGGGCACAGCTGGCCAGAGGAGCTGTCTGAAAGGCATGGCCAAGATACCCCTCAGCCCACTGAAGTGTGTTCATGCATGCAGTGATGACTCTTTGTATATCGTCTCCACAGTCTTATACACAGAAGTCAAAGAAGAGTGGACAGGCCATGTTTTAAAACTTTTAAAATTTTTAATTAAAAAACCCACGCAGTCTCAGGTTCGGCATGGAGAGGGTGGCATGTCATATGATGGGGTCCGGGTGGTCCCTTGGGGTGTGCTGAATGCTGCTTGGGTTTTCTTCCTGAGCCAGTGCTGTGGGAGCGGAAGATCCAGGGCTGGCCCTTCTTCCCTTCATGGGCCCCTTGGGGCAGGGGCTTGGGGGCTCTGTCTCTTGCACCTACTGTGAGGGTCCATTCCAGAGCCACAAGCCACTCAGGGATGGGGGTATGGGAGAGAAAAGGTCTCTGGGGGTATTTGCAGCTTGGGACGCGTCCTCCATGGAGCCCTCTCCCATTGCACCCTGGGCCTCTTGAGCCTCAGGCAAGAAAACGGCCAGGACTGTGTGATCAGCAGCCCCTGGCTGCCCTGTTGGCCCAGGTCTAGGTCTGGTCAAGCTGTTGGAGCTGCCTCTCCGCACAGGATGAGTTCTCAGGGAAGTCAGGCCATAGCAGGGTCCAGAGGGCACTCCCTTCTCAGAGCCCCGGCCCAGGCGAGGCAACGGCTCTGACAGTGTGGAAATGAAACAAAGTCCTGAATGAGCAACTCCCTTCTGGGAAGTTGATTCCAGAGAGAAACGTGGGGGGCTTCCAGAGTCTCTGTCCTCGCTCCTGCTGCACCCCTGTTAGGGCTCTGGGGCTGTCCCACCGAATGACTGAGGGTTCCCTAGCGGGATGGCAGACTGCCAGGGTCTTTACAAGGCCAGGCCTCCTGCCCCATCAGGCTGGGAGCACGTGTGGGGAGCACTTCCCCCGTAGATCCCGGGTGCCGTCGACTGTGGCATCCTCCCTGTGCTTGCCTCCGCTCTCACTGGCCCAGCATAGAGGCCTTCTTACAGGCCACCGCCGAGACCAGGGCCGCGCCCCGGCCACTGCCCTCCTCCGACTCGATGAAGGTGATCTCGCAGCTGGGCGTCAGCCGGCGCACGCTGGCATGGAACCGCTCCTTGAAGCTGGGCAGAAGAGAAGCAGGCTGCCGTCCCTCCTCCCAGCCCATCCTCCACAGCCATCACCGGGCGCCCTGAAGGCAGTCGACCCTTCCCCCAAATCTAGGCCAAGGGGGCCGAGAAGAGGCTTACGAATTCTTGGAGCTTGGGAGCCACAAGGAACCTCGGAGCGCGCGCTTTTTGGGCCCCACTTTACCAGGGAGGGGCCGGAGCGGGCTCACCTGGGGTGCAGCTTGTACACGGAGCCGTCCACGCCCACGGTGATGCGCATCACGTCCTCGCTGCGGCTCTCCCGCATGCGATTGATGACGCCCGCCAGCCCGGCCGAGCACATGTGAGCAGCGCGCGTAGACACGCTCTCACAGGCTCGGCGCACGATGTCACAGTCGGTGGTCGAGGGTCGCAGCCCCAGCGTGCTCAGGATGTTGTAGATCTGCTTGCGGTCGCCCGTGTCGCTGCGGGGTGGGAGGAGGTAGGGCGATCGCTGAGTCTCGCTCCGCCAGTCAGTCCCCCTCCAGCGGCGGCCTCTCCTTCTCCAGGAAGGGGCCGCGGCCAGCCGTGCCCCCAGCGGCAGCCTCTTTCCCTGGCTGAGGTGGGGCCCCTCTATGGAGAAATGGGGGCGATCCTGCTCACCTCACTCACCCGAAGCGTTTGGGGCTTGGGCTCCGGAGGAGAGCGGGTCCCGGTTAAGCCAGAGACCAGCAGTCACCTGGTCAGTACTACTCCCTCTAACTAAGCCCAGGGTCTCGGCTCTAACGTGGGATTGTCAACCATGCCGCGCCTCGGGGCTGTGCGTGATGTGAGAGGGTGTCTACGACGGATAGGGAGCACCGAGGGGACTCACGGATGGGGACCACTGCCGGGACGCAGGCTCGCCTTCATTTCTGCTCTTGGCATCCCCGTCGGACCCCGCCTTCTGCCCTTGGGCCAGCCCTCTGCGCCCAGTCTCGGGACCCCGACCCTTCCCTTTGCATCCCGATCTTGACACAGCCTCCTGCCCCTGGACCCGTCCCTGCCCCGCCCTCGCCTCCAGCGCCCCGCCTTGTGCCCTGCCCCGCCCCACCTTGGGCCACGCCCACAGCTGGAATCGCGCTCCAGGCCGTAGTTTCCCGCCCTTGCGTCCCCGGGCCTGGGACTCAGCCTCACCCTAAGACCAAGTTTGCAGTGCCCCGGCGTCCCCAGTCCCTGCCCTTTGCACCCGTCCTACTCCTCCACACACCTCTCCACCTGCGATACGAAGCGCGTCTCGAAGGCTCCGCGTGTGCGCAGCTGCTCGGAGGCCTCCCCGTGGAAGAGCAGGTTTTCGTCCACAAGCCTGAGCATCACGAGCCGCACCAGCTCGCCCATGTACTTGCCGCCTATGAGCTTCTCATACCTGGACACAGGGCAGCTCCATTATATCAGCAGGCACGAGGGAGGGCCCCTCGTGCAGGTGGAAACTCGGATCCGGCCTCACTGCTCCCCATTGAGGTCACGAGGCAGCCACGTGGGGCACCGTGATCCCTACTCCCCCATCCAGTCCACGTCTTTTCCACTATTAATGAGCCAGAGCTTTCGAAACGTCAGGGATTAGGAACGTGCATGTTCAGCTCAATCACAGGAGCAACTTTGGCCTGCCTCTGGGCCCGTTGCAGTAATGGGAGACAGATAGCAAAGACCCTGTCCAGTCCCCCTGAAACCTTCCTAGCAGGGGGCTCTGCGCCGAGCACAGGCTCTATAGCTTCAGTCCTCCTTTAGCCGCATCTGGAGCTGCTGTTCATTGGCCAGTTATGGTTGGGAAAACTAAGGCTTGGAGGGTTAGTGCCCGGTCGGAGGCAAGCACCACGTTGCTGGCGTTTTCATGCTTAATGTATGACCTTACGTATTTAATTTAAATAAATGGAATACTACTGGCCTATAATAATAGAGCCCTGTGAGCGGCAGAGAGGACGCTAATAAAGTAATTAGCCCAGGCCTGGCACAGTAGGCGGTTAACAAGTGACAGCTATGATTAATGACAAGCTCAGTGTGGGCTGGTTTCTCGGCTGTCACTGCCCACCCGCAGCATTCCACAAAAGACTAATACTCTTTTTGTGAATGTGGCCAAATATATATTTTGGGGAACACTGGGTTAAACCCAGAAACTCTGCTGGGGGCGTCCCAGAGCCGCCTCTATGCACAAGATCACCTGTCGGAAGGAGAGATCTGGGCTTATCAAATCACAACTGGGACTAACCCTTCACCTTTCACAGGGGCAGGTCATGACTGAGCAGAAGGGATGGAGCTTACGAAAGGATTGTCAGTTTGCTTTTCCCCAGAGTTGTTTAAAAACAAGCCCATTATCTGTAGTGGCCAGCTCCCATCTGCCGCTGTGCCAGAGCGGCCCAGGGCCTGGGCTGTGGGGGAGGGGGGCATCCTTACAGCTGCTGACCGGGGTTTGCAGAGCTCTCGTCCACCAGGCGATCATACTCCAGCAGGAACTCGTCCAGCTCGCCGGAGTCCCCGAAGGCACCCCACTCGGTGTTGACGCACATGCGGCCCTCGTCCCCCTCCACCAGCTCCACATTCTGCATCTCCTCCATGTAGCAGGCATTGCAGCCTGTTCCTGGGGTGGAGGTCAGGAGACTGTCAGCGAGAGCTGCACTGCCCTGGGGAGTCCCCTGGTAGGGCCTGGTTCCTGCCCACAGGACGCCCCCTCCTGCCCCCCATGCCTGTCTCTTTGCTTTGCCTGGAGCAATGGAAAGGCGACTCTCCCTGGGATGGAAGACCTGGGTTGCCTCAGTGGCCAGGAACAGCTTTCTGGGCTGTCCTCTTCCCAAGCAGGCAGCAGTAACACCTTCCCTGCCTGTTACCTGGGCAGTTGGGAGGATTGAGGGGAACAGTGTTTATCAAAGAAATGGATGTGGGACGTTATGATTTTATTTTGTCTATGCACCATCCTTGTTTTACAGCACTGCCAGTGCACATGTTTGAGCTTCTGTGTCCTCAGCCATGTTTGGATAGCACCCCAAAGCGAGTAAGGCACGGTGTGGGCCCTTGGGAGCCTCCCAGAGGCTCCTGTGGACAGGACCAGACGTAGAATTTTGTAATTTGCTGGCCCCTGTGCAGTGTGACAGCATGGAGTCTTTTGTTCACAAGTTATTAAGAGTTTCAAACTGGTGACAGCAGAGCCTCAAGCTGGCATGAATGTGTGGTCTGCACACCCCCAAAGCTGTCAGGCACAGCAACTATAATGCTGGTCAGTCAAGCTGCCATGTAGGAATCAGGGCTCAGTGATGCCCAGCCTTCCAGTTTATTTATTTATTTATTTATTTATTTATTTATTTATTTATTTATTGCAGACGCTCTGTCACCCAGGCTGGAATGCAGTGGCATAATCTTGGCTCACTGTAACCTCTGCCTCCCAGGTTCAAGTAGTTCTCCTGCCTCAGTCTCCTGAGTACCTGGGATTACAGGCATGTGCCATCACATCCAGCTAATTTTTGTATTTTTAGTAGAGACAGGGTTACACGTTGTTGGCCAGGCTGGTCTTGAACTGCTGACCTCAAGTGACCCGCCTGCCTCAGCCTCCCAAACTGTTGGGATTACTGGTGTGAGCCACCTTGCCTGGCCACCTTCTAGCTTTTTGTAAACAAACAGAAATGCAGACTTTGATGTGAATTCTCCTAATTTTTAGATCTTGGTAATTGTTATAAACATGTTTTTAAACACTGAGCAGAGTCAAGAAGAGTGTATGTAGGGCAGATGTGAGCCGCGGGTCACCCCGTGCCACCTCTGCCCCAGGAGGGGTTATGCCTGGGCTGAGCAGTTGCAGCTTGGCTTGGTGGGTATTCATGTGGAAGAGTCTCAGGGAGCCCCAGGGAGCTCCGGAGGAGAGGGTGGAAAGGGCTGACGGGAATCACAGCCAGGGATGGCTGAGGCTCACATTTAGATGCTGGATTTAAAGACAACGTTCCTTCTGAAAGGGGAGAATGGAAGTAAGAGAAGTACAGAACCACGCGCCCGTGTGCACAGTGGATAACTGATCCGATTGGATCGCTCCTCACCGAAGGCTTATGATAATGACCTCTGGAACTTCTGAGAAAGGTCCGGGTTGGTGTGGACGACCCCTCTGCTAGGAGAAGCAGGCTGCTGCTCCCTTTCCTAGTACCTGCCTTCACTTTGGGTGGAGGCAGTGGCAGGGGCAGGCCTGTGGAAACACCATCCAGGAAGGGATGGGATCACTTTTGCTTATCCTCCTCCACCTGGACAAATCTGTCCAGTTGGTCAATTTACTAGATAAAATGTTCTAATTATAATCCTGACGGGCCAGGTGGATGTGCATCTGGCATACCATCTGATGCAGGAATGCGGCATTACAGCGTTGAAATGCCTTCCACTGTACACGGTCCTTCCATCTTGATACCCCAAGAGAACGCAGGATCCAGCACCAGGCCCTGCTCTGATGTCATCGGTTGTTAAGTACTTTGGTCCTCACCCCACAGGGCTCCAGGAAGCCTGCTGTATATAGGGAGCCTCGGGAGTCTGGAAGGGGCAGGGGTACAAGGAGCCCTTACCCACGATCATGCCGACCTCACACTGATGGTCTTCGTAGTAGCAGGAGATCATTGTGGCCACCGTGTCGTTCACCATCGCCACCACGTCCATTTCGAAGTCCTGCCAAGAAACACAGAGGCTGCAGTGCTGGGAGCCAAGGAGAAAGGCACGCAGTGGGGGGTGGAGGCCCAGGGCAGCCCCCCTAGCAGGCACAGGTGCTCCCTCACCCCTCTCCGTTTGATAGCGTCTCGCAGAAGCCCCACGACGTTGTTCCCTTCTGCTCCTGAGGCCTTGAAGCCCTTGGTCCAGTTGAGAAGGATGCCCTGTGGAGAGAGGGAGGCCTTGTGGCTGCTGACATGTGCTGGGGCCATGCTGCTGTGGCCTGCCACCACCTCCTGCCCAGGGCCGCTAGAGTATGCACCCTACTTTACAGCTGAGGAAACAGGCTCAGAGCAGCCCCATGGCTTCCAGAGGTGTTGGGAACAATTCTCCATGAATAGCTTGTATTTCCTCAGGGCTGAGTCCCAGCCAATTTAAGAATGTACTGCACAGCTCTGAGACATCATCCCAGAGTCAAGGCAAGGCCTGGAGGGAGCAGCTCTGAGTAAGATCAGGATTTCCCTCCTGCAAGACACCCCGCTGCCTGCGCAGGTGCCACCTGGCCCCCTCTGTGTCCCTGCAGAGACTGGGGCTTAGAAAAACCCATGAGATGTTGCTGTGGCTGCTGCTTCTGCTGTGAGTGAGGACTCAGCTTTCTCCCTGACCCAAAGGTCTCATGTTTTATGTGTGTGCATATATAACTTTGTGTGTATGTGCGTGTGGTGTGTGCATAGATGTAACTGGCAGGCCACCTCGGTAGCTTGCAGGAAGGGTGGAATCTCAGTCACTTCACATTTCTGACTCAGCTTGAGGCAGTGTGGCATGATGGTGGCCTGCAGGTGAGCTGGAGCCCGGATGCCTGAGTTTGAGCCCCACTCCACTGCCAGCTGCTCTTCCCACTGGAGTGAGGTGATCCCAGCTGGTGCCTCACAGGGCCCAGAGCCAGAATCAGCCAATGTGATTCTTCTCCACAGCCTCAGAGGTGGCAGGTGACAGGGCTGCAATCTGAATCCAGATCTCCCTTCAGAGCACGGACTGTGGGGGCTGCATGTGAAAGCAGACTTCTTCTGGGGCACCTGTGCCTCCCTCTTCTGCCTTCCATCCCTCCACCCGGCCCACCTTGTCAATGTCTTCATGCCTCACGGGAAAAGAGAAGGTGAAGCCCAGGGGCAGCTTCTTGTGCTTCATCTGATGCTTATCCAGGAAGTCAGAGATGCACTCAGAGATGTAGTCAAAGAGCTGGAAGATGCAGGCCACAGTGACCGTCAGGCGGGGGCAGGGGCGCTGGCCGGCAGCCCTCCCCGGGGCCTCATGCCGTGCTCCTCCTCAGAGAGCACGCACCAGATGGTGCCACCGAATGCCCCGCCACCGAATGCCAGGCCTGTTCGCAGTTTCCCTCTCCTCTTCTGCTGCTGCTTGTTGGGCTCAGGCCCTAAGCCTTCCCCATGCCAGAGACCTGCTGACAGTAGCCCCCGGGACAGGACAACACGGGGCAGGCTGGTCCCCAGCCCGCTGTGCTCTGTCAGCCTGGCCTTCCCAGCTGAACCTTGTGAGGTTCAGTCTCAAGCCTGGCCGGCTGTTCCTGAGGCTCCAGATGCAGGCACATCCTTGATTTCTGTCTCCAGCACCCGGGGTCTCCTTTCCTACTTCCAGGCGTCCTGGCCACCCAGCCCCGCTGAAGGCCAGTCCTGACTCCCCTTGCACGGGCTGCTCTATGGAATTGGGCACTGCTGGTTCATTGACCAGGCTCCTTGCTGGCTGCTGGGGCCAGGGAGGTCCGCACGCCATCCCCATGAATCAGTGCCTTGATTCATGTCCAGCCCACGAACAGACTAGCAAGCCACAGGGGTGTGAGGATTGGCGGCCACAGGCAACCCCCTGCCTCAGAGCCTGGCCCCTCCAGGAACTGGCTTTGGCCATATGCTCAGCTGCAGCCAGGTGCAGGCCTCATTCTGTGTCCCCCGCACCCTAGTCCTTCCCATGGTCAGGGGTCCTTGCTACCTGGGCAGACATTGTGATTGCTGTCACCCCACTTGCTGTGCATGTTGATGGAGGGCGAGGGGTGCCCCTTGCAGAGGGGTGGAGTGCACCGGCTCCTTCCGCTAACCTCTGCTCAGCCCATTCCCTCAACACTGGCCAGATGGTGATTGTGGGACTTCGGGACTCCTTGTGGGACTTGGCCGCTCCTGTTCACCGAGGCCTCCAGGCCTCTGAAGCTGGGTGGTCCTCCAGCCCCCGCTCTCCCCACCCCAGGTGGACGGATGGGACCTCCCGTCAGGACTAGCCGGGCCCTGAGATCCTGCATGGCCTTGGCACCCCTTGCTCCAGCCCCTGTGGTGCTCACCATCTCAGCAGTGCCGGTCATGGCGTCCTCGGGGATAGAGTACATCTGGTGTTTGGTCTTCACGCTCCACTGCCCCTCCTCACCTTCTCCCACCTTTACCAGCATTACCCTGAAGTTGGTGCCACCCAGGTCCAGAGAGAGGAAGTCCCCGACTTCTACAGGCACAGAGAGAAGTGTGTCAGCCTCAGGGGCACACATAGGCTGGCCTTGGGTGGGGCAGGCCGTGGGTGACTGATCCCAGATACCGCAGAGAGGAGGAGGGAAGGCACAAGGGGACCAAGGGATCTGGACAAGGGGTCACCCAACACCTGGGAACACCAGTGCCAACGTGGAGGGGTAAAGCTCAGCCAGGGAAAAGTAATGGGAAACTCCTGCCCTGGACAGAGTCACCGAGAGCCCAGGGACCAACTGAGGACCTGGTGCACTAGCCCAGCTGCAGAACTGGGCTAGGGGTTCCCTAAGTGCCCTAATGGGAGCAGTGAGGTTTTTTTTGTTTTTGTTTTTGAGATGGAGTCTCACTCTGTCACCCAGGCTAGAGTGCAGTGGCTCGATCTAGGCTCACTGCAACCTCCGCCTCCCAGGTTCAAGTGATTCTCCTGCCTCAGCCTCCAGAGTAACTGGGACTACAGGCATGCCCCTACCACGCCCAGCTAATTTTTGTATTTTTGGTAGAGACAGGGTTTCACCATGTTGGCCAGGCTGGTCTCAAACTCCTGGCCTTGAGATCTGCCCGCCTTGGCCTCCCAAAGTGCTGAAATTACAGGCGTGAGTCACTGCACAGGCTTTAAAAAAACTGGCTTTAAAAAGCCAGTTTTCCTGAGGCTTGCCGGCTCCAGGGTGAGCCAGAGTGCCGCAGGGCTGGACCAGAGGAGTGCAGGTGTGAAGTGTTTCCACAGGTCAGTACTTCATTTCTCCCCAGGAGGTTCTGTCTTGGGCTGGCTGAGAGTTTGGAAGTGCCTGGGGTGCTCCTCCCAGCTAGGGCTGAGCCCATCGCTGCGTCTGGATGAGGAGCCGGTTCTGGGTGGTACCTGAGCCCTCTGGGGTGGAGCGCACATAGGTGGGCAGCATCTTCACACTGGCCTCCTCGTGGGTCTCCAGCCTCAGGCCACGGTCCATCTCCTTCTGCATCCGCCTCATCACCTTTTTCAGGTCCTCCTCCTGCAGCTGGAACTCTGCCAGGATCTGCTCCACCTGCATGGGGAGGGGGATAGGAGCAGCCGGGCTGGGGAGGGGGTAGGCTGGGGACCTCACGGGGGCTGTCATCAGGCACCCACATGCCGAGGGTCTCACGGGGCATTTCCCCCACACACTGTGGGTCTCCTTCCATCCTCTAACCCCTGGTTTAGGGTGACCCATCATCTCAAACTTTATGACACGTAAAACCAGATGGAAAGTCAGAAGAGCAGAGTCCAGGACCAGCGGCTCAGCAAATGCAGCCCAGGGCGTGTTGGCGTTGTGAGCCGCAGAGGGCAGAGTGGCTTCTGTCCCTGACGATATCCCCGTGGCACAGCACCCTGTAGCACCCCCTTCATCCCTCAGATCGGGACCAGGGAAAGGATGGGCTAACTGGGAGAGTTGGCAAGTTGGGGCTTGAACCACCTGTCTGGAGGGTGCCAGGCAGCTGGCATTGCTGTCAGAGAGATCTGGTCCTCTGACTTCTGGGATTTACACCAGAAAATAAATGGGCCAGTCTGCACATGTGGGCTAAGGGCCAGCCAGGAGTGAGCATGAACATCTAGGAGGAGGTGTCTGCTACCAAAACCATCTGTGCAATGGGGACACCAGGCCACAGAAGGAAGAGGGTCCCTATGCACTGACATGAGAGACGCTTGCGCTCACAAAGTTCAGATCCAATCTGCCACTCCCATGAGCATGGGCGGCCCGTGGTGTGGCCGCTTGCTCTCCACCCGGCAGAGTGAGGACACGCTGTGAATGTAGCTGTGGCTGTGCCCATGCATCCCCGGCAAGCTGGAGTGTGGACAGCTATGTGTCTGTCCCCTGGGCACTCTAGTGCTATTCATGGAGAAAAGGCCATGTTAATGCGATGGTTATCTCTGAGCAGTGGTAAGAAAAATAATCATAAGGATATTTTCATCTTGAACCAAAAAGAAGGAAAGATGCACTGATAAAAGCTATGGATCTGTTCCACAAAAATACACTCTTATGCATAAGCTCGAGGGGTTGGAGATGCTCTGAATCCCAGCTGGGAGGCAACATGGCCATTTTCCTCTGCTTCCTCAGTTTTTAGAACTCAGATTTTGTTGGTAGGGGGAGCACTGCACCATGACTGGTCTAAGGTAGGCACAGAAATTCTATCCTCCTCCTATTGATGATTGGTCTAGAATTGGGCATGTCACCCAGTTCTGGCCAATGACAGGTGAAGGGAAGCCTGATTTTAGCAGGGGGAGGAGCTTCAGTTTCCCTAACTTTGTAAACACAGCTGTGTAAGGATGTAAGGACCAGCATGTGACAGCCTCCCTGTAACCATGAGGAAACAAGGCCGGGGGTTAAAGCTGTTAGCAAACTGTGAATACAGGGAAGAGAGAGTAATGCCAGACCCACCTTCCACAGGCAGGTTATGGGAGCACGAGGATCACTTATGCCACAGCGAGTCAGGTGTTTGGTTTCCTGCAGCCCAAAGCATTCTTAATAGATACTGATCTTTGGTTAAGAACCATGTCTCTTAATCAGGCCCCGCCTGTAAAATTTAAACCCAGGCAAGGTCAGAGACGGATGGGGCTGATAAAGTCTGTGTCAAAAGCCACAGAATCAAACTCCAGTGTTGGCTGAGCAGGCGCCATTTTGCAGCTCTGAGCGTGGGATGGGAGTGCAAGCTTTCCCCAACCCCCAATCCTCCAGCCCTCCAACCCAACTGTACCTGCAGAGCACACCCCTGGAGCACACCCCACTGCTGTTCCACACTCAGGGCTCTGTGGAACAATCCAGGCTGTCCTCAGTGCCCCACAACTACAACCTTTGCCTCCTCTGTCTTTGTTTCCTACACCCACCAATGTAGAGGATGCCAGGAACTACCTGTGAGGGCATCTACCATTTGCCGAATTCCTCTATATGCCAGGCCTTGCACCAGGTGCATCACACAGCAGCCTCACACCCTGAGCCCTGTCACCACAGCACTGGGGAGGAGGTGCCAGCAGCACCCAACTTGCAGATGAAGAAAGGCTTACAGAAATCACTTGTGCAGCCACAGGCAGCCAGCAGCCCTTGGCCAGGCCAGCTCCCAAATCCATGCACACAGCAGCTACTGGCAGGAAGTCCTGGGGAACCCTCCAGACAAGACTGTTCAGAGGGACCTGTGGGCTCCCAACAAAAGTGATGCTGCTCTTGCAAAGTCCCAGCCCTCATGCCTGCCTGGCATCACCCTTGCGCCTCTCTCCAAATGGCTTATCTTGGCGACCACAGACCTGGACTCTGGTCTCTTGGCCGCAGGCCCTTCATGTGAGGATCCGACATTTGAGTCTGAGGTTTTGGCGGAGGACAATGGCATGGAGCCTGTGCCCAGGCGGCTGATCAGAGTGTGGCTGTATTGTCGGACAGTTGGGGCCCTTGAGTGATCCTCCCTTGCAGGGCTGTGGGGGACCTCACACTTCTCCCCACCCAGCACTTGGAGGACAGGGAGAGCCAGGCACATGGCGGCTGCTGTTGCTCTTATCACATGTTGGGAGGTTGGGCCCTGTAGGGTGTCGGGGAGGCTCAAGTCTTCCCCCTCTGTATCAAGGCCTGCAGGTGGCCCTGCCACTGACTAGGTGAAATCCTAGCTCTGCTGGCTTCTAGGCCAGAAAGTTTTTCCCGGGTAATCCCAGGACTGCATGAAGTCAAACTGATACCATCTGTTCAGAGGGCAATTTGGAGTTTATCTAAGTTTAACTTTGATCTGACAGTTTCTCTCCTAAGAATCTGTTCTGCAGCCAGAGGGCTGTGGGCATTTCCAAGATGCACAGGGCGGTGTCCCCTTGCTGCAGCAGTGAGGACCCCCATATTCACCAGCGAGGACTTTAAATCAACACCAGGAAGCTTCCTGCAGGGCCTCCTGTGGCTTTCCCATGAAGGACACGTATAGGCATAAGTGAAAACGTGAGATGGGACCTGAGGTAGGACCTCATCCCATTTCTGTAAATAAACTTGCATCTGGCCTGCGAATCTGATTTGTCCTGTATAATATTCTCAAAAGCTTAAATCTGCTGCCGCCACTTAAAATCTATTTAAAAAGAGACACTTTTACACAAAAATCTGGATTTCTGTAAAAGTAGGTCTGCATTCTCTGTGGGGCTGCAGGGAGGCAGGGGATGTGGGGTCAGGGAGCCTATCTCTCCACAGTGGCAGAACTGGCTAGGGTCTCCTGGCACAGGGCTCTCAGCTGCGCCCTGCCCTAACCAGCTGCTGCAGGGTTTCTGCATCATCCGCACCGCAGGGCCTGTGAGAACCCCTCACACACTTCCCAGTGGGCATGGGTTGGAGGATGGATGCATTAAGGTTCTGAGGCTGCAGTTACCAGCAGACCTGGGGGGTCACCTCTTATGTGGGGAGCATCCTCCAAAGGTGAGCCTTGTTCTTGGTGGGAGCAAGCCCCTTCCTCAGGGTGCATCTGGGCCTCAGAAGTCCCCCTTCTGGCACTTGGTGAGCATGCAACCCGAGGAGGAAGCTCTGACCCAGCTTGGTCTCACAAGCCTGGGGGTCATGTTGTGGGGCCAAGGTCAGCCTCACAGACCCCCAGGACAAGTCCAGTGGCAGGGACTGAGGCTGATGCACACTTCCCTGTGCCAGACCCACTCTGACGCCCCTCCCTATCATTGCTACAGCAAGCTTGGGATGTGGGTACTGGTATTATTTCCATTTTTTATAAGTGAGGAAACTGGACGCAGAGGTGCAACCCCTTCCCCAAGCCCACAGAGCCAGGCACTGGCTCCCAGCTTTCCTCTCTCCCAGCCCGGCTGCATCCTTCAGGCCCAGCACCAAGCTGCTCCTGGTGCCCAGACCCCAGCTGCCAGTGTCTCTCTGGCGAGCCTGATGCTGGTTATCTGTGCAAGCTTACAGGACTTTCCCAAGCAGTCAGGAAATGTGGTGGTGCCTGGGGAGCCCCAAGATACAGCCTGGCCGCCCCCCAGGTGTCACCTCGGAAGAAGAGCACAGACAGAGCCTGTTCCTCCCGCTGGCAGCCTCTGGGAGGCAGCCCCAGCCGGCTTGCAGAGGTTCTCTTGCTGACCTTGCCCTAGAGGTCACAGGACACATAATCAGGGCCCATGGCCAAAGGTACAACTTTTCTTGCTTGAAGACATTCCACACTCCCTGCAGGGCATCTGACCCTCATCTCTTCAGTGATGCCCACCAAATGCCAGGTGCAGTGCAGGGCGCAGAAGCAGAGTCCACAGCTAAACAAGCCTCTCTCAAGGGTGGGGATTGGCAGGAAAGAACTTAGTCAAGCTGGGGACAGGTTGCGGGGTAAAGGAATGGGGGCAGATGAAGCAGGGACGAGGTCGGGCAGCTGCTACCAGGAGATGGGGGCAGGAGACCTGCACTGACGCTGGAGCAGAGCGAGGAGGGAGGGAGTGAGGCTGAGCTGTGAGGAGCAAAAGGTGAGAGGCCTGGAGGCGCTGGGCCGCAGAGCACGGGCATCTTGGGGCAGGGTGGAAGCAGGGCGTCAGTCTGTCCTAACAGCCCCTGTGCAGGGACGGTGGGCACAGGCTTGGTGAGAGGGTAAGAGTCTAGACTCTGAAGGGAGGTGGGAGGGGCTGAGGAGAGGAACAGGAGGGCCTGGGAAGAAGAGGTTCCACCCGACCTGGGAGTTGGGTTGTGGGAGTCGGGATCTTGCTCTGCGCATGTTAACACATCTGCCAGCCAAGGGGCGATTTGTTCCAAGTAGCAGTTGGCTATGCAAGGCCAGAGTTCAGTGGAAAGTTGGGCTGGAGAGGTAGATATGGGGACAGCCCTTAAGGCCACCGGCCTGGACATGGTCACCAGGGCGTACAGGTTGGACAGCAGTGGGAGAGGCAGAGCTGGTCAGTCAGGGCTGCCGGGGCAGGATGCCATCTCTTTTACACAGCTGGCAGTGCTTTGTGGCCCCACCTCCAGAATGCAGTAAAAAAGGCAGGATGCTTTCTAGTGCCACCTTTGGCAGACGTGGACTGGGAAGCTGTCTATTCCAGCACTGGGCGGCGGGGGGAGGGGGGCAGCTG